TTATTTGTGTTGAAATATTTGTAATCGCATTCTTACTGGTTAAAAGGAAGCGTAGCTTTCTGTCACGTCCGATACATACATTAGCTTTCAGCCAGGTTCGAATTATCCTGAAATTTAATCCCATTTTTTATGTTACTTTTGATTGGTTATTTATTGTGTCCTGTTTATGATTTGTTAAACCATGATCTGTTGTAAAGCTATATATATGACCTCTGTAAGCGTTTTCTTTGCTTGTATTACTCTGCTTGTACGTATCTCTGCTTGCTTGTATTTCTTTGCATGTAACTCTGCATGTATCTCTGCGTATCTCAGTAATAAATATTTGTTTTGCGAACCACGGTTTCTAACAATCTGCTATGCCTGACTTTAAGAAAAATCCAGCATACATCTCTGAATGAGAGACCACCAGAAGAGACCTTTTTCACTGGCTTGGGAAAAAAAGTATATGCAAATTTTTTTCCAAGAGTTTATTTGTTAATTTTGAGGTTTTACAGAGTGAAGAGTTTATAAGAATTACATACGACTATATTTTACAGTGTTCAGTATATTAGTTTAATTCTCCCAAGCATTTGTTGATAAATTATGTACTTTACTTTGGATACAGTGCACCAAACAATGTTATGAAAGCATACAGTAACATTTGCACTTTAATTTCCTACTCAAAACAACATTTGTTATCCTCTACGACAATAAAAACGGCTGATCTTTGGAATATGGTAACTGGTAGTTTGGCGACATTTTGGAGGCGATAAAGGTTACTACCTAGGACTTTGGTAATAATGTGAGAAGTACTCATTTCCGATTACGCATTATTTTGTGTGAGGGAAATGAGAGATCTAGAGATATGTCCTGTGACATTAATGGACGAATAACAGTTCTTTAATCGGAAAAGGGGGGGAATTTGGAAAACTGTAGTACTATATTATTTTGTATTAAGCTTCATTGTGTGTTGTGTGAAATAGTGGAAGTGTGCGTGCCACGTAATGAAGATTCTGAAGATTAGGTAAGTTAGTATTTTTAATCATTTGAGGATATTATTTTTATGCATTGTTCTAAATGTAAGGAGTAAAAAAATTAATATGATATTATTGGAAAATTGTTATTAGCAATGATTTAGTTTAAGTAATTAGGATTGTAATCTAATTTTATTACTTTTAATGTATATGCTTATTTTTATTTTAAGTAGTTGTTTTTTTTAATTTAATTATTTTTAATTTAATGATCGTGATTTTGTGAGTTATATGTTTAGTATTTTGGAATACGTTTGAGTAGAATACGTTGAGTATTTTTCATTTCACGCATTTTCGTGAAATTTTTCTTAATATATGAGAAAAAAGCAGTGTACATGGATATTAGTGAAGGTGTGCGCCAATGCCATTTTTTTGGTGCAATTATGGGATGTTTTTTTAAGTAAAAATAAGTCGACGTGTATATGGTTTAGTGATATTTTAATTAAATGATAGTTATTTTGTGAATTTTATGTTTGTAGGAATTTGGTATACGTTTCAGTTGAAGTAAACGTGCATGGAAGTAATTTAAATATTTGACACTAAGTATTTGTAACCATTTGTAATGTTTGCGGTATGAATTTGTTGGTGACGTTTATAATAGATAATTTAGAGGTAAAAGTTTTTGGATATTTTATTTATTTTATACGTGGAAATGTTCATCTTTGGAAAGGGTATGTACTTTTTGCGATCATGTAATTTCATATATGTTCTTTTTACCGGATTTAAAGATTCACAAAATTTTCATGCATTTTCGTAAAATTTTTCTAATTTATGAGGAGGAAGCAATGTACATGGATATAGTGAAGAGTGTGCGCAATGCCACTTTTGTGCAATTCTGGGATTTTTTTTAAGTAAAAATAACTCGACGTGTACATGGTTTAGTGATATTTTAATTGAATGATAGTTATTTTGTGAATTTTATGTTTGTAGGGATTTGGTATACGTTTCAGTTGAAGTAAACGTGCATGGAAGTAATTTAAATATTTGACACTAAGTATTTGTAATGTTTGTGGTATGAATTCATTGGTGACGTTTATAATAGATAATTTAGAGGTAAAAGTTTTTGGATATTTTATTTATTTTATACGTGGAAATGTTCATCCTTGGAAAGGGTATATACTTTTTTGCGATCAGGTAATTTCATATATGTGCTTTTTACCGACTTTAAATTTTTTTGCATTTTCGTGCAAATTTTTGTAATTTATGAGAAAATAGCAGTGTAGATGGATAAAGTTAAGAGTGTGTGCAATGCCATTTTTGTGGTATTCTGGGATGTTTTTTAAGTAAAAATAAGTCGACGTGTAAATGGTTTATGTGTATGTGCTATTCTGAAAAACGCGCAAGGAGTTTGCGATTGTGCAATTTTCCCAATTTTGCAGTTAATATTTGTCATGATTAAGCAGTTTTGTTACATAAAATTTCTAGCATAAGTGTAATTTGGCTAGTAGATTGTTGGAAAAAGTGTTCAGTAAATAAAAAGAAAAGAAACATGTCTTTACTTCGTGAAGACAAGATGGCGGCGAAAAAAAAAATAGGGGGTTGCTGTAGCAGAGTTGGTCGCCAAATTTTCGCCAAGTTACCATAATCCAAAGATCAACCATAAAAACTTCAGATTTTCATTAAAATCCAACACCTTGTTCTTACTAAATCCACTCATCCAATGACACATCATATTTGACAACAGCTAAGCCTTGTACTTAATGGAACTGTTATATCTAAAACAATAGATTAACCTTTTGAAGCCGGGTACCAAAGCACAAAGAATCTTGAACGAATGCTTTCCTCCCTTTAAGAAATCACCTCCTATTTGCAACAAATATTCTTGTGTGTAGTTTAATGGATTCTCAGAGAGATGCATCTATGTCGTAAAAGGAAGACCTTTGAAACAGATAAGTGGTTAAAACTCCAGGGACGTTAAATTTGACATTTCACACCACTTTTCAGCCTGGAAAATGGGGGGGAGGGGGGAAAGACACTAAAGTGGACAACCCCGTCTTTTCAAAGAGAGGACTCTATGGCCACTATAATGGCCATCCTGTCTTCAAAAGGTTAAACTAGTTAATTATGATAAAGTATTCAAGTGCTAGCAACCTAAAGGAAGATCTGCTTTATTGAAGAACTTCGTAAGGGCTTATATATACTTTACACTATCAATGTTAAGAAATAAACCAGCATTTATTTATTATCAGTATAATATAGCTTTAACCACTCAAGACATGAGCACACCAAACTTTGGTACAATATGTTTATCCAAGAACACAAACTTCCTAAATATTATTTCAATCCTAAATCTATCTGTTGGTGGCATTTTAATCCTAAATCTTTCCTAAAGATTCCTTAAATCCTAAATCTAGCAAAATTTCCCAACTTGCGTGAGTCAATACCAAAATTTCTCCTTTAAAATTAAATGACTTACATTCCCCCATATAACCTTGACTCTTAATAGACATCATAACTTAATTCCCCCCTCCAACTTTATAAAAAAAAAATGGAAAACATTGCCACTACAGTCATTCATTCATCAATCTTAGTATAGTAACGGAATGGGTACTACTTCAGATTTTCATAACCGAAATTTTAAAATCATTTTCTTTAATCCTAATTTTGTTTTATACTTTCTATTATTATAAGTCTAATGCACGTACCATGCCTTTTAGATCAGCTGCTTATATTAACAACTTTGTAATTTGGGCCATTTGTAAATATCAATATGTAGATATAATGCTTAAAGTACTAAAAAGTAATATGGGCCATTTGTAAACCAATATGAACGTAAAATCCTTAACATACTTGTATCACATAAAATTATATATATAGCTTAATTATACATGACCATGTATCTTAATACTTCATATGAATAAACAGTTTCTTCTCCAAAAAAAGAAAAGCAAGAAAGAAATGAGGGGGGAAAAAGAAAAGAAATAAATAAAAGGTAATTAAGAGACGAAACTGCAAAGTGAAAATGTAATCAATGTTCTTATTTCAAAAAAAGAAAAAACAAGGTGGGGAAAGAAAAAGAAGACTGAAGAAAGAAGAGAGCTTTCTTATAAAGACCACCACCATTAGTTAGCAGCAAATTACTTCTTCTGCCAGAGTCCAGAGTATTAACTATTTTACCATCACCATCATTACATATAGAGCCAAAGGTTTATGCAATGGTTTTTAATTCGAAATATCATAGAAACTATTAAAATGGTTCATTAGAGACGTAATTTTATGATGAAAGTTATTAATGATGAAAATTTTAAGGCCAACTTTAAAATGTAAAATTACCCTCAAAATACAACATGTTTAAAAAAACTGTTTAAATATCTTCTTCCAAGAAAAGCATGGTATAGATACTAATTTAAGCCAGCTGGTTTCCTTTGATGATCTTCACCAGTTGTCTTGGGTGACTGGCAAGTTTACTTTGAAAAAATTAGGTGCTCAAAGCAGGCATGATGCCTGAATAATGGTGCATGGACTAATGGAATAGGGCCTTGGTTCTATTTTGTTGGTTTTTGGAATGCAGTTTTTATATGCACGTATATTAAGTCAAGATGTACTAAAGATGACATGACTTGAAATATTGTTGCACTACACTCCCAAATGTTTAATTGATTTTTAGTGATGCTACAGATACTTCAAACAGAAAGTTCAATAAATTTTAATATCGTGTACACCAGATGTTAATTGTCTAAAGAATTATTTCATTTTCCTGGAAATGAAAAGTAAATGAAAAAATTTGATAATTACAACTTATCTCTTTCACCTAATGAGAAAAAAATGTGGAAGTTTCAGTTAATTTATTTTTATTACTTTAATAATACACTAAAATTATTAAAATTTCAAAATTTTCAAAAGCAAATGTTTAAATTCAACAGCAGACCAAAAAACGAAATGAAAGCTGGAAGCGAAACGTGCTTTGAATGAAAACATTCTAAATAACCAAATTCATGCCGAAATAAAAATTTATGAAAAGGAAAAAAGTTTTAATATTTTAAGAAATACCTTTCTGATCGTCCTTCCATAGCTGGAAACCATTAACTGTAAAGAAATTAGTAATTAATGCATATATGAATAATCACATTAAAAAATAACATTCGTTGTGAATATCACTTAGTCGGTTAAAAAAAATGATAGAAAGCGCTCAATTATCATAAAATCATAAGTTCTAAATACTCAAATTAAATCATATCCAGTAACAATATATTTTTCGCACACCAAAACTTCCTTTTTTTAAAAAATTTTTTAAATGTATCATAAAGAAAGAACAAAGCTTGCCAAATATAACGGTAAACTATTAAATTATGCAAAAATTTAAAAAGACAGCACACAATTTACAGAAAAATACAAAAAAGGGACATTAGCGACTTTAAAAATAACGAATATTATATAATTTACATAAAATTCAAAAACTTCGTATGCTGTCTCAAACAAAGCATCCAAGATCATAAAAGCACTGTTAGTATCTCGCAGCGGGGGTTTGCCGATCACAAACAAAGAGATGTAACAATTTGTTTACTACATTGATTTAAAGCATCTGGTGAAAACTGACTACAATGTACGAATATAAATGTAAATAGCACTTTATAGAATCAAATTTGGAAACAATAATTTACCTGGAAAGGTTGTTGGAAAGACAAAAGTTGGAGTGCACACAACTTGCTCAGGCGTGGAAGCCATTTTTTTCGCACTCCCTCCGTTGCTATTATCCATAGGGAATTTTCATCAGTAACAAAGGAGCGAGGCGGTAGTCGAGTTTCTGTCATTTTTATCAGGAAATTTTCGCTTAATTGCTGTGAATAAATTCGAGAATGATTTTAATGCAAAAGTTCGAAAAAAAAATTAACAATAAATAAGAAAATTTCTATTAATTTCATTTTTTCTATCTTCTTTATTCATCGTTCTTTATCTATTCATTTTTTCCCCGGATAGTCAAGCTTATATTTCGAAAGCATTACTTATTTATGAGAATTTGCTCTCCTGCCCTATATTAAATGTATAAAAAATTAAATTTCAGACAAGCATTATACTCTTAAACAGTGGCGGCTCGTGGCTAAAATTAGTGGGGGTGCTGTTCCAAAAAAATTTAACCTTTGTTTTAAAATTGTGTAAAAGGAATATAAAAAGAAAATTATTTTGAAATTTCATGAAATCTTACAAGAAAAAAATTAAATATTTCTTAATTACTTTAACCGAAATTGTTACAGTTCAATCTTTGTCTATTCATTTAAAAATGAAATGCGTTCCTCTTATTTTAATTTGCTCGAAAAGATCAATAATTTTCTCCTTGATCTCTGGATGACAGTTGAATTTAGTCTTTCTGAATTCCTAGTGCTTCTTAGAAAGGTTTGCATTCTTTTCAATGTTGAAAAGCAGCATTCTGCCTCTGATGTAGTTATGGGAATTCTCAAGAGAATTTTTATCAGTTTCGTAATTTCACTAAGAAGATCATCTGGATTATTTTCGAAGATAAATTTCAGTAGCTCACTTAATTTTTAGTATTTATGGATATCAGTCCAGTAATAGAATACTTTTAGTTCAGTTTCAAGCTTTTCTTTGTCAATCATTGGATATGTTTCAGTGGTCAGTACTATTTCTTCTGTAGAATATTCATTCCTAAAACTAAGCAGTTCTTGTTAAACAATTCAGCAACTGCTAAGTGTTTAGTGGAAGAATATCTGTGCATTATATGAATACATAGTATAAAGTCACATATTTCCTTAGCTTCTGCCATCAGTGTCTTTAAAAAATTCTCACAGTTCTTTGAGTTTCTTAATTCTAAAATAGCAGTTTTTAAATTTCTTATATATTCATTAACTTTAAACACACTAATTTCTCTGGATTGCATTTAGTTGTATATTATTTCAACATGAGGCATCTGATAAAAAAGCTCTAACCAAAACTTGAAATTATCATTTAGATATTTTAAAATTCCTGTTGCTTTTGCAATAGTTGGATTTGCATTTGATGTTGAATGAATTTCAGTAAGGTAATTTTTTAAAAGTTGCAAATTTTCATGAACTCTGTTTATGGTCCGTATGATGAAGTTTCACCTTGCGGAGGAATACCACACGCGCGGAATTAACAACATGCCAGAATTTAGGCACTGCAAAAGCGACAGTGCTCTTCTCTCTTCCGGCTCGGTGTGCTGTTTTCCGTGTGCGCATGCGCAGAACAGCCAAACACCACGTCGCTGGAACTGGGAAGTGCGCAGTTCCAAACAAAGACTTTCGTGCCTTTTTTACAAAGTGGGGGTTGACTACTGACATTAAGCTTAAGGAATATGTATTGTAAAAGTATAAAGAAAAAATTAAAGACTAAAGGGCACACTATATTAAATATTAAAAATAATAATAAGTGGAAATAGGGGATGCTGTAGTTCCACAGTACTTATTACGAGTCGCCACTGCTCTTAAAAATTGATCCGATGTCTATCAAACTATACTCTATTATTAAAAAAAATCAGTCATAACATTAAAAATGCTAACATTAAGAATGGTCATATCTTTTCGAGATGCATGTAATTTTATCAAATGCATGAATAATATAAGATATATTTTGAACTTTCTTAAATATTAAATTCTGCACATTGTTTTCTGGATTTATTATTTCACTCCAAATTGTAATGTTTAACTTTTAGAATTTGGCAACTAATTTTCAAGTATATTCCAAAAAATGTTTGTAAGATAAAATTAATAAAGCTGTTCTATATACGTATCTTATTTTTACTGCTGTATGTAAATTTCTGACAATAAATAATATTGGATTATGTTAACACTGTATATTGATATTCAACATATATCTTTACTACACAGCATAGTCCCTAGTACAGGCTATATATTTTTTAGGCTACACAGTCAAGAAATTTGAAAACTAGATTCTTTTGTTGTAAGATTTATAGTCCTTCTGAATAACTATTATCAGCTTTATTCTTCTTCTATCCTTCATTCCTCAAATAACCTCACCCATAGCCTTCAAATTTACCAAATCTCTGCCATGCAGACACTTGACCTCATGGGGGTTTAAATTTGCTCTAGTCGATTAGTGTTTCGGAGCTATACCTGTTCGATCTTTAATGAAGTTTCTAGTGCTCCCAACACTTTTACCTGTGCCTGAAAGATTTATAGAATAAATCTTGTGTATGTACCTTCATTTCCTGTAATAGAGAATTTGTGACTTACTTTATTACATTCCCCTTATTCCTGAAAACGAGCAACATTTTGTCTGTCCTGACTTTGTGATCAAAAATTGAACAAAAATAATCTGGACGATTAGGATCATTAGATGGTTTACCTGTAAAAATACATGAAATAATGGAAACAGAAAAAAATAGCATTGACGTCTTGTTTTGTTACTTCATATACAGTAGCGTAGCTAGGGTGGGGCAAAAGGGAACATCTGTTCCCGGGCGCAGCATTCAGGGGGCGCCAAACTGATGTTACGAAATTTTAGAATGAAATGTTTTCCATTCTTGGCACAGAGGAACGGGGCGCAAAATCGTCTCTTGTCCCCGGGCTCCGAAAACCCTAGCTACGCCTCTGTTCATATACTAGTACTTTTCTACTTATTTCGTTAAAATATTACAATTTTCATAAAGAATATTAAGTTAGTCAGTGATTAAAAGTTGTCTTAACGATACTACGTGAAAACTGAGAATAAAAATTACAGTAAAGTATTGCACCAAGAATCATTTGGTATTGAAAACTGTGTTTCTTCAAAATTAGGACTCTGAAAGACTCTCTCGTCTCCAACATATGGAATATTTAAAGATTCGTTGAAGAAACTCGCCTGACCAGCTCCCAAGCATGCAGTCTGCTTTCAACAGGCAAAATGGTCCAAACTTCTTTTCCGACGAATTCCACTCATCTAGAGGATATATTTAATTGCTAATTTCACAAAGGTTAGGCCCTAAACGGTAATCTCTAAGTTACTGGTAAGAGAAGGGGAAAATATCTCCTGGAGTAAGCCAGTATGCGGACGGAGGTATAAAAGTATCCTATACTTCTGTGGCGTTCCGACAGATACTTCAACTTCTATTCATGAGATGGCGCCACGTGTAAAATCCAGTTCTTAATCGGAGCAGCAAAGCGACGTCATTACTCACTCAGACTTCTCGTCAGGCAACTACGCATGAACTGTGAACGCGACAGAAGCATGAACTGTGTTCCGAGAGCTCTGTGTTGATCTCTGCAATGTAATTTAAATTGTAATTTAGTACTTAATATATTCTTTTGTTATAGGAGATTGTCTACTCTTATTTTCTTTAATTATATCATGCATTAAGCACACACGACCACCAAAAGTGGTGACCTTTTGACTGAGCACGCTACTGACAAAGGATTTTCCAACGACCCTAAGCCACGTGCTCCAAGGCATTCTGAAGAAACTGACAAAAATAACAACGGATATGGACATTAAACGTATGCTACAACGTACCCCTTCAATTATTTCTAGAAGTATTGATATATATTGCTTGTGTTTTTTCAAAGTCGTGCATATCATCGCAAGGAGCTTCAGCAAATCATCATGTGATCTGTTCCGTTCCGCTGACTTCGCCAGTCGTGCAATAATTCTTCGATCATTCAACTTTTGTGACCAGTGGATACAATAGTGATTTCGCTAAATGTGCTACATCAGTAATTTTTTTCTGCAAACGTGCTACGACGGAAAAATTCTTCTCTCAGTGTTCGAAAGTAGTGAATTTTTTTTTCCCATGTGCTACAGGAGTGATTTCCATTTTCCTTCGAAAGTGCCTTAGCAGTATGAAGTGGTGATTTTGTGTGTGCGCAATACAAAATGAACGCATCATTTTTTCTCAAATAGGGGTTTCTTTTCAAATGCATTTCGGTAAAATATTATTTGAGTGTGTAATTGCTGACCCTGTCTTATTTGTGTTTGTATCGTTACGTAAATTTTTCTGCATGGTTAAAATATTTATTGTTATCATGGTAAAATATCAATAGTGTACCCTCATGCTACAATATTTGTGCTGTTAAGTGTTTATTAATTAAAGTGAAAATTATCTATCAGTATGCCCGACGATATTCCACCAGAGCCACAAATCACACGCGTGGCGGTGAAGATACCGCCTTTCTGGAAAAATAATCCTTCATTGTGGTTCGCTTGTAAGGATCTTAAGTTTTACTAACGTTTATTTTATTTTAAATCTTTACTATCACTTATTTTCTACTTCCGGCCAGAATTATAAGCGTTAATGTATTTATGCAAAGTTTGTCTGGCGAACGCCAAGTACTTAAGTTGTGGCTTTTTGCCAAGCGAGAGAGAGGAAGCAGTTAGTCGAAGCAGGCCGCTTACCTTAGAAGTTTTACTCAGTTGCTGGTTGCCTTCCAGGCCAGAGGTTTAATCCTCTTGATAATTTTTAAACGTATTGTAGTGTTCACAGTTCTCTGTACTACATACGGCTTTCCTGTTAATATAAGGCCAATCTTCTTCCACGTTTATATTTTTAAAATTAAATTAGAGTTTAGTTTTATTTTTATTTTTTTTACGTTAGACCACAAGTAGTGGGTCTGTGTATTTCCGAAGTACGGAAGTTATTGTAAATAGAGAAAAATAAAGGGTTTTGTATACCCTTCTTGTGTATCCTGTCCACTTCCCACAGTGATTGAACATAGCTTTAGTAAGCTCTCTGTTTCCGAGTCAGGTCCTTGCATGTTTCCCGAAGAAAGTAAGACGGAAACATTGAACCTGATAGTGGCGCCCAACGAAGAAGAATAACCATGGCCGAGTTTCAAGAAGAACCTGTGCTGCCTGCAGAAGCGGCTCAGAATCCAGAAATGCCAGCTGCCGCCCTGGAAGGATTTGGTTACATCGTCCAGACCATGCGCGCTTCGATGAAACCAGAAGCAACATTTAATGGAAACTCACCGGTAACCAGTTTTTTGGAAAAATTGGGTGACCACTTC